TTTGACAAAACTTGTGGCCCTGGGCCAATTAGCCAGGTACAAGTGTCACATGGAAGAACGTCCTGATTTGGCCCATTTTACAACCGCGCTCCATCACAGAGTCGATACTTCAAATTACAGTTCCCCTTCTGATTACAGCAAGATTGTATTCTGAAATCAAAACGGCAATTATTGTTGGAGTGTCGATTCTGTTATAGAGCGCGATTACAAAGTAGGACATAACCGGGTGGATCACGTGTCACGTGACCTCGCGGGATCATAAAAATAATATCTTTTCTTTGAGTACGAAATTCGATAGACGCTAATAGATCAAGTAATATATCGTCACCTGGAATAACATCAAGAGGCTAGCCCAGGATAGAGAAAAGTGGAGGGTGTTTGTCCGTGGCCTATACTCTGGTGCAGGGTGAGAAAGGCAATGATGATGATAGCCCCCCACTCAAGTCAAAACAAAAAACAAACACCAACCATACAAATCAAGCCCCCCCCAAAAAAAAAACAACAACAACAACAACAAAAAAACAACAACCAATAAACCCCCCAACAACCTCCTGACTAAACCAAACAAAAACAACTACCACAAACATCTCCGCCAACCCCAACCCCTTAAAAAAACAGCCCGCCAACAAATCCATCAATTTTCAAATAAAAAATAAGAACACCAAACAAAAGCAAAAAATAAAAACAGACGAACCACCCTCTTCCCCCAGCAATCCTTTATATGCATAACCGAAATCTTATAGTCATAAACTAGGCCTATCGTAAGGAGAGTAGAAGAAACTAGAATCTTGTAATGTACCATAATATTATTGGTCACAAGCCAAGAAGACGGATGTCATTTTACGGGACAGGTCAAGGATAATTGTTTTTTTCTTCCATCATCTTGCTGTGAGAAGGTGTTTTTGGTGACTGGGATTTTCTGCTCTCTGGATGAGTGAAAACACACACACACACACTACATACACACACGCACGCACGCACGCTCGCATACACACACACCCACACACACACACCCACACACACACACACACAAACAAGGGGGAGGGGGCGTCAGTGTTGTTTGTGTGTGTTGTGGTGGGTAATGGGCGGGAAAGGGGGGTGTGTCTAGCTGAGTTTCTTTCTCTCTCTCTCTCTCTCTCTCTCTCTCT